TTACCAAATATTTTTAATATTTCCCAAATATGTTTTTTTCCGACACTTTGTACATGCAAACCCACCCCCCCCCCCCCCACCCCCCGCCCCACCCCCCCCCCCCCCCTGCCCCCCCCCCCCCCCCCCCCGGATCGCCCCCCCCCCCGTCCAAGAAAAACCTATGTATGGGATGCGCTAGTTAGCTAACACGCCCCCTTTTTTTAGTCGAATCGTCAACCTCGCGGTGGGCGTGATTATGGTGCTGGGCGGAATATCGCAGTTCTTCAACCTCGGCTTGTGCGTCCATACCACCCTACCACCCTCTCCCTCTCTCTATACCTAATCCCAACTAACCCCAACCCCTTCCCCAGCCAATCCATCATAATCGGCGCCTACGTCCTCATCTTCGGCCTGGCCGTCGCCCTCCTCGAGTTCCAGATCCCCCCGCAAGTCTCGCGCTACGCCTCGTTTATGTTCTCCTTCATCGGCCGCGGCATCTTCTACGTCTTCGTCGGCTCCATCCTCTTGAACAACGGCGTCTTGCGCATCATCGCCGGTTCTATCGTCGGTCTCGTCGGCCTCGGTTATATCGCGCTCGAGTTCGTCCCCTCTGTTGAGCCCCCTGCCAACATGCGCGAGGCCGATGCTGGCTGGGGTGCCGAGCAGGTATAATAGACCCCGATCATCTCTAGCATCTCTGCCTTCTCGCCTGGACCGGCAACGGGTGGGTGTTACTCTCTAACCCTAAGGCGTCCATCTTGCCAATTTCTTGTTTCTTGGTCGAGGTTGATCACGTAGAAGTTGAAGTGAGGAATTCTATTGGAATGAAAATGTTTAGAAAGTTAACTCGTTCGGTAAGGGGGATGGCTGGGCCGGTTGTGATAACTTATATGTACGAATAACGGCAGGGAATGAGTTCTGTCATGTATAACCAAATCATGTGTTACGCAAGACTGGATATTTACCTGGTGCGAGATGATTGGTGAGAACGGGGTAAATATATTAAAACACTGTTCTTGCTATACGTTTTTGTATTTCTTGCCTTGGTAGAATATTATTTATTCCGTATGAAGCTCGTGATTTATGCCTTAATCCTCTTGAACTAGGTACTTTGGTTGAAGTTATCCCCTACCCAGCCCCATCCTTTCCATACCTTCTATATAATTTGTTGTACGGGGTACCATTAAAAATCAGTTGGATTGCCCATGCCATGGGAACATGGTAGCCATGCTCCGCAATTCATAATATCATGCCTCCTAACCCTCGCATGTATTTTTGCGACCTCACGATACGCCGAGCACATATGCTATGCTGCCGAAAAGCAAAGGCCGCTGATAAAAAAAAAAAAAAACTCGACCCAATGACGCCCCGTAGTGTTTGACTCATCCTTTTGCGGTTTCGCTTTGTTCCCTTAGATTAAGTCCTATGGCTCCCAGTCGTAATTTTGGTCATCAAAATAAAAGAAATCAACGCAAATTCAGAGAGCAAAGAATGTTCCCTACTGCAGCGCGGCCATCTCACGTTCTTTCGCCGCGAGCATCTGACGTATCCGTTCAGCTTCTTGTTGAAGCGCCGCTAGTCTATCAGCCTTCGATTTCTCATCCTCGGCCGTACTCTCTCTGGATTGGATCGCGGGCAATACGTTCGACATCATCCCCTGCGGGCTGGGGCTTGGTGCTGACATGACTGTAGTAGCCGGGGATCGAAGACACAATGCCTCGGCAAGGTTATCGGCCGAGCAAAAGTTAGGATTTGATTCCGACGCCGGGTTGAGAAGAGACTTGATAGAGGACAACCTTTTGAAGCTATCATATCCGGCTTCGCTCGGTGCATATTCCGAATCAGTTCCCGAGAAGGAGCGTTTCCTCGACGGCGAGAGGAACGACGCGGGGGATAGAGACGACTGACGATCACTCAACGCCGCAAGTGATTTCAACGGGGCTAAACGATTGTCGTCGGTGAGAGAATCCCGAATATCGAAATTGTGAGGTGCGTTAGTAGTGTGATACGCTGTGAGATCGTTCGAGGATATCGGAGCCGACGCGGGACCGGACCGGACCGGATCAGGGAGTAATGTAAGTGGATGTTCGGTCTTTCGACGTAAACCAAGATTAATAGACCCGTCCTCGTTAACGCTGCCACGCTCCATCTCGAGTTCGGTATACTGGCTCTGCTGTTCAATAGAATCAATCGTCATCGCATCCTCCGACCCACTATCCATTTGGTTCGCTGGTATTACACGCTTTCTCCTCTTAATGACAGATTTCTTCATAGTAACTGGCCGGTGAACTCCGTGAAGCTTGTAATATAACCCTACTGCGATTAGCTAACACCGATCGTACAAGTTAAAGTATACACATACCGCAGGCGTTACATATGGTATGACCCGATTCATCACGACGCCACAACGGAGTTATTGTAGTACCACAATTTTGGCAGGCTATTACCACCGTCGTATTCTGAGCCGCGGCTTGCTGCGCATTTATGTCTATCGGAGTCGGCCCATCGTCTGGAGGGGACCCGCTTGCATTGCCAGATGCCCGGTTTTGGTTCTGGAGCTGAGCACTCTTCGCTACTCGGTTATTATACGCCGGGCAGCCACTACATCCCTCTGCGCCGCCAGTACCATTGCATCGTCCCCCACCTGGACATGATCCATTAGGCATTTGATCCGCAGCGACGTATGTGGCCCCGGGTATATTTGCCGAGCTGCCTTGAGCACATGAGCTAGAAGAAGTCTTCTCGGGTGTCCTTTTCGGAGTAGTAGACACTGTCGATGGCGGCCGTTTTAGATTTGTTGGGCGCGACGAGTTGCGCGCCTTTAGATAAAGTCCACATGCATTACAAATCGTAGCACCCTGGGGCGAACGCCTCCATAATGGTGTCCTTGTAGTACCACAATTGCTAGAATGGAGTTAAAATCGACTGGAAACTCACCGAGAAACTGATCGACTTACCTGCACACCTGTCCGCTCTGGTTAGACGTGGAATTTGATTTCGTAGCTGCCCAATTCTCTTGATGCACAGGATCAAATGGAGAAGGGCTTTTTGAGTTGACTCGCTCGGATCCCTGTATCGAGGGGCTGGGTGCCTCCGAAAAGTCACTCTGACTTTGAGCCGCAGGACTCCTCGATCCAACAGAAGAGGCGATTTGAATAGACATGGTTTCGGATGGCTGAGTGCTTTCTCTAGAAACGACGGGACGAGTAGGGAGTGCCGTCCTGGTAGAGTTTGGTTCTGATCTGGCCAGTTTTGCGTATGAGTAAGGGGCCACTTCCATCATAATCTCCGTCGCTGAATCCTTTAGAAACTCGCCTGACTGTGAGAGTTGCGGCGATCGTCGCTTCGGTTTCTTCCTTTGTTCTACGATAACATGGGAATCCGGGCCCAAACAAGAAAAGAGGAGACAATTCAGAGGAGCAGTTGATGGGATACCGATGCTTGACAACAAGAACCGTCAATGTTCAAAGTATCAACAGTTCAATGAAGACTGTTGCAGACCAACTGACAACTTTGGACCAATGAACCGTCATAAGTGCCACTATATCGTGACGGGCTCGTGTTACTTGCTAGCTCGAACAGTGGCGGATCAGCAGTCAGTGACAAGATCTCTGTTGCTCCAAACTGGGCTGCATGGGGATGTAAGTGAAGGGAGATGTGTCGATGGGTTCGACCGCAATTGACTGCGAAGCTAGGTTGGTTAGAGACGGGACTATGGGTACCTCGGATGCAAGGGGCAATGTTCCTAGAGGCTTGTGGGAATATCTAACAGGTCTAGATCAAGCCGAGTGAGTGCGTTAGGCGCTGGAGGGTGGAGAGATCAAGGTTCGACCTGAGGATATGGTCTTGTCCTTTTTTTTTCTTCTTGCTTATGGAATAGGGCATGCCCAGATCACGAGGATGAAACCCGCGTACGCAGCCTGGCAACGCAGGTTGTGTGCTTAGGTTGGATAGGTAGGTAAGTAAGAGGTATGTATGATATGGTATGGTATGGTATGGTATGTGGTATGTATGTACGTTACGGAGTAACTGCAGGGCCTCTTCCTTGTATCTGTAGTATGTAGTATCTGTACCGTGTAATCCGTACCGCATGCATCACCCTCACCCTCGCTGTCAAGAACCTACAACTCCGCCACGTCGGGATTGGATCCTATATCGTGTACTGTGTACCGTGTACCGTGGAGATAAGATCGGAAAAATCAGATGAAGGTGTAAGACAACGACCTAACGTTGTTGATGGAGTGCTCGCTTCAGTCCGAGATAAATCTCGGAGATTCGAGGAAAGATAATCTTGATCTGATTGAGGCGGTGGATGGGGGTTTAGGAATGCCACATGGAAGGGGGGGGGGGAAGGTAGGAGCTGCGCAGTTAGTAAATCAGTAAGTCAGCGGTTAGCACATAGGTATCTACGGTACCTACGGTACCTACCTAGGTAGCCAACTTGACCTAATAACTTTAGCAAATTTTAGCACCTTAATAGCCTAGGCAAGAGCCCTGTACTTTACCTATCGTAATTGCCAATACCTACAATATTTAACCATTACCTAGGTAGGTACCTACATATGTATAAAGTAATAAATACATTGTACCCAACGCATCGAGTAGGGAGGTTCCCATTCCCCACAAAGCTAGTGTAAAACTACTACAGACTAGAACTGCTAGAACCCTTTTCCAAAAAAGATAATGGGTCCCCCTGGAGTCCCGACCCTCGGCGTGCCGGCTGAATGAGGATCGAGCAGATTATTATTAAACCTCGTTTCATTGGTCCAACCATTGATTGAATTTGCTAGGTAATATGACAAGAGGGACCTTGCTCAACAACTTCTTTTTATAATCTTCACCTGACTATTGGCTGATGGTGATGGCACGTCGGAAGGCGGTCTGCCAATTCGACATCAATGTTGCATTAATCAATTTCGTATACTTACCTACCTATATGCTTATATATTTCGTGTACGCATCCGCATCCGCATCATCGTCATCTGATTAGGTGATATCTGCCATTCTGATATCAACCGTCATAACTCACATTTTGAGGTGGTTGGAAACCTGCCCTAGCACCGGTTGCACAGCGCCGGTAATGCCTACTAGGTATACTATGCGGCGGTCTAGGTGCATCCTTTTTTTCTTCTCTTCCTCCTTGATTACCTTAGGTACTTTTGCCTCCAACCTCCGGTCGTGTTTTCTAGTTCTACTCCCGGCATTGCTTGCTTGAATGAGCTGTGCGTACCCGTTTAATAAATATCGTAAAACTTCCTGTTAAGAGTCATATCAATACATAGGTAGATAGGTACCTAATTATTACCTGTCTTAAATGGTACATATGTCGCTTACTTGCGTCCATGTTTCGAAAAGTGCAGGGGAGCGAGAGAATAGGTATGTAGGTAGGTAGGTATAAGTACCTGGGTATTATAGGTACAAAGGAGGAGACTTGCACCACGGAGTACGGAACACCAGCAGAAACGCTAAAAACATATCTACCTAGGCCAAGCTTTTTTATCTAACCTTGTCCCATCTTCTTGCATGCTGCAAGTTGCGACCTACCGTGGTACGTACCACCGCTTTAAGGTTTGAGGGGGAACTCAACTCCGTAGATAAGATGCAGCATTATCTCTTATCATAATTGATCAATTACGAAATCTTGTCTTAGGTTTACGCGTATTTAAATATTCGCTTACTCTCACTTTTTATTTAATCTTCTTTTTATTTTATTTTATACAAAACCGCTGGTATTCCGTCCAACGTGACGATTATATGCCTCCATAAGTTGACGGAAATCTCTTCCGGGCTATGTGGAGGGAAGTATATGCATTCTAGCCAACACGCTTGGAAATACCATCGTTTTGATTGGGCGGTAGGGTCCTGGAAGCTTGCATGGTTGGAGCCGCTAAAGCAATGCTACTCTATAATAGATCATACATAGGTTATACATAGTGCTCCGTACAGTACGCGGGAAATGATGTCAGTACCCGACAGGTTTCTTTATTTTGACAAAAAGCTGAGTACATCTTTTCTTAAGCCGAGGCGCTCGGTGATCGGTGATAAATACTTGAAGGTAAGCTTAATGCAGAATATCTATATTGTGCGAGTTAAAAGGATTATGATTGTGAATTTCCTTTGCTCAATCTCATTTCCTAACATAATGTAGCTAATAGCTAATAGCTAATACACATGCTTTCCACAAAGAAGGAAAAAACCGATAGTAATCTAAAACTGAATAACTAGGGGTATCGGGTATGAAGAGCTGTAATCTCGAAGAAACTTGCAGACCAACGACCAAACACTCCAAGAAAACCAACATCCACAGGTTTACACATTGCACCTTAAACCTCACCCATAAGCTGCTCTCCCTCGTCCAATAATTCCGTCACTTTCTTTAAGTTTTGTATTAGACTCCTGCCAAGTCCGACCAAAAGCAGCTTCTCTGCGTTCGCGGGCAGTCCTAGATAAGTTGGCGGCTCGCGCTCAGGGAGTTTCTGGATCCACCCCATGAACTCTTCCAGCGAAGTACCGGAGGGTACTACGAGGCTCGTCTCTTGTCCATCTTTCTCAGCTCCTTCGACTAATTTATGACCAATCTCGAAAGCGGAGGGTGTAAGGGATTGATCCACCAATTCTGTAAGGCGCTTGAAATCGCCTTCATCATCAATCTTACCACCGTAAGTCTCACGGACCAGGTAGCGGATCATATCCCAGGGGATGTTTTGCGGATTGATGTTGGTACGGCTTTGTGCCACGGACTCGATCCATGTATCGACAATGAAGGCTGAACATTCATACTACGAGAATGTAAGGTTAGCTGCTATTAGTCATATAAGTTGTGGTGTTTACTTACATCACTGTCATTAAATTCCCAGAAGCCCTTCCATCCTAGATTCGGTGCGTATCGTAGACGTTCTTGTACCACTGCATGCAAGAAAGAGAGAAGCAAGTAAAGCCTGCTGCGCTCCACTGGGCTCTTAGTAGCTCGGTTGGATAGAGAGGACATCGAATCCTTCATATTGGCACGCACGCCGGCCGGCTGCTCGTACATGAGTACACGAGATGCGCGCAGTAAGTTTACAGGAATCTTTGGGCTGGATTCCATAGATAGGAATAGTCTGAAATCAGAATGTGGGTTGAGAGATTCCATACGCTTCTCGAGAGATTGTAACCAAGTAGGCGCAAGATGAACATTCTTGACGAGAACCCAAGACCCGACCTGCGCTGCATTGCTAACTGCTTTGTCGGCACTTGCAAGACTTTCATTTGATCCCATAGCAATATTGGTGCACCTAACACGCATTCGCTCAACCAAGTTGTCCACCTTGTAACTGGCGTCAAAGCCGGGGGTCGAGACTAATGAAATGGGACGAGTTGAAGGGACTTGGCTAATGGTTTCTTTAAGATCATCTACAACGTCAAGTAGCTCAGCCCCGAAGACCGAAGCTACGAATCGTTCGGCAGTTGGGACAAAACGGTCGAGGCGGAAGAGTTTGACTAAAAGTAACGAGAGCAATCCTTGGTCAAACGGTTCCATGTTTGCGTCCCAGATCTGAGGGATAAAGTTCTCCGCGAGCTCCTCTGATAAGAACGCATCCCATACATTGGCCGGTACTTGGTCGAGCTTATCCTTCAACACGGCGAGTCTCTTGGCACGAGTAAAGGTCTCATCCTTGGCGTCGATTTCGGTGGAGAGATCCTTGCCTTCGATACGATCGTCGAGGATCACGTCGATCAGGCTCTTATCCATCTTGTAAGGTGAGGCCTGGGCGAGGAGCATGGCAAGAGTAATTCGGTCCTTCTGGAGGAGGCCTAAGGCGGTCCTCTTGAAAGTTGTCACGAATAAGTCTTTAATGATGACATCTCGGCGTTTATTGAAATCTCTTTCTCCTGCCAGGTTCTTGTTACCGTGGAGGACAGAATGGAAAATGTCGAGGAAATATTGTAGAGAGAACTGATAGAAATGGTTGAGATAGTGTAGTTGCTCGAGAACAGCAAATACGGCACTGCATGATCGCGCAATGATGCTGTACTGCAATGTGATCTCTTCGACTTCAGCCATTACTCCTTCGGTATTACTCATCTTAACCGCAATCTCGCCGGCTTCGGTCTTAAGGGTTTCAAGAGTCTCGATGACATTGTCGTCATCCAGAATGTTACCACGGGATTCGTTGAGGGCTTGCAGGAGACGTTTCTCAAGTTGTCGAAGATGAACCTTGAATTCGCCTTGGAGCTTGATAAGATTGGATCTTCTCTCGTCAACATCTGGTCTCTCGGATTTCAAAACCTCATTAAGGGACTGAGTCTGGAGACTGCTCTGTGTAACTGTAAAGTTGACGAATGTGGTTCGACTGCAAATATCCGGTGGGAATGTCGCCGATGGATCTCTTGTGGATAAGTAAATCTTAAATGCAGGTGAGAAGTCAATTTCCTGCTTGCCGAGTTGGATGAGCACACGACCGCCGGTCTTCTGGTACTCCTTGTTGAGAACGTGGTTGAGGATGGGGTCTAAATGTTCGGCATCTTGGATAAGAATTGGATTGCCGAATCTGAGAGAACTTTCTAGTTGCTTGGTGAAGGAGTCATCCAGGAAACTGGTCACAGTAAGACGACGATCTTTGCATTCGCGTTGAAGGAACTCAGTAGCTCTGCCTGAGGGGTCGATAATAAGTGGGTAGCGGTTAAAGCGCTTGAGAATAATGGCGTTTTCTGTACATAGATCATCGACGGGCAGGGTGTTCTCTTGCCAGCTGAGTCGTTCATCTGCAGTCGACAGGTATTCCGTGACGGGATTATGGGGCTTGAAGTTGATCCCGGAAAGGTGAAGCTGGTGCAACCAGTCTTCCATCATTGATTTTCGGAAGGTCTGATCGTAAAGACCACTGTATGCTAAGAAAGCGGCGGCAACTAGAACGTCTCCGACCAATGTGCTGATTTGTGTTTCAAATGACTTGCTTCCATCCTCCCAACGAACACGCTCCGAGGAAAGA